TGGAATATTCTGGCAACTATAATGCCTGGAGCAATCCTAAATCATGAATCACAAAGTGAAGGGAAGAAGTAGGAGTTGACACTAAAGACAGGAAACAGAAAAAAAAAGGTAAAACTAATTAAAGGAGTAACGAGCATGTTCAAACAGAGCTTGACTTAACACCTGGATGACAAATGGCATATGGATAAATAAATGGACATAAATAAATGATATTCTAGAATATGGGCTAGTTTCTAGTATTAGTCTTTGAAACTTGTATTCTGAGAGAAATTGATCTTATGTTTAAACCCTGGTAGTCTTGGCGCTTTACTTAAAGTGCAAAGAATTAAATAGCTGAAGACTTGAATTTATGCACCAGCTGGCCCTCATCTTTCTGGTATTTATCCTCCATGACTTAAAAGAGCCCTTTGTTCCAGTCCTACTAGCCCATGAAGAGCTTCTAGGACTCATTGATTAATTTCTATCTTTGCCTTGTAATGTACACAGTAACCTTTGCCTGAAACATCCTTCCTTACTTATTCAAATTATCCACATCAACTACCCTTCAGGGCCAGGTCAATTACATGCCTTTCCAAACTAGACTGTCCCATGACAATCTCTTTTTTCTCGAGATTTCAATAATATTTATTGTCTGTTTTATTCACATGCCTTGAATACTTACGTGAAAGAATATGTAATTAACTTTTCATGTCTATATGCCTTATGCACTGAATTTTATTGTTAACTACGCTAACAATGTTTTAAAATGTCTATTAGGAACTGAAATGCTTCTACTGTAAAAACAACCAGAAGATGCATGAAATTGACAAAAGTGTCAGCAAAAAAGTTTCTCTTTTTCTTCTATTAAATATGTAGATCATACATTCTCTGTGTTCTTTTGCTGCACCAGGTTGTAGACCTATTCAAAGCACTGTGAATGAAGCAGATGGTTCTAGTCCACTTATAAACAGATGTTAAAACTGATCATTTTCATGAGGTTCTGCTTTAACAGTATGGGGTAAGCAAACACAGTTACAGTCTTCTACAGAAGCTTATACACGTTGCATCAGAATAATGTTATATGTTAGCTCAACCACAGAGAGAATCTGCAGTCTTTGGCTGCCCTTTGCAACATACCAAAGGTGTCCTGTTTCTTCCACAAACTTGTATTACTTATGGAAAAACATTATGACACAATTGGCAGGCTTCTACCTACTGACTTGGGTTTGCTGATTGGGACAGTTTGCTAACAAAGCGCTCAACCCTGTTTTACAAGAAGCACCTACAGGGAACATTAGAATGAGGGTATCAGATTTCTGCTAGTGTCATTTCTTTAAGAATCCAGTCACACAGTTATGAGGTTGAGCCAGCAACTGGAATACATAGGGAATTAAAGTATGATGATCATAGCTGATCCTACATTGGGAGGACTTCAGAGGCAACATTCTTAACCCTAGAGAAAAAGGAATGTTTTGGGTCACTTGGCTGTGAGTCTTCTGGCTACATGAATGGGATATTAAACCTTAAAACCCTAGGAAAGAGACATATGCAGACTGCTCTGAGTCAGAGAGCTGACTTCATGGTGTTTTGCTCAGTAAAGGGTGGAGGGACTGAATCTTCAAGGAGGTATGCTTTTCCAAGAGGAGTTCCAGAGGTTATTCCTCCACCCAGCCTTTTTTATTCTCTAAGGATCACTCATCTGACAACTTCTTTTTTTATTTAAAGGAGCTGCTGTGATCTCAACACCAGATGCAAGCAACTACATTATAGAAATAGGTCTTAAGCACTGACAACTCACTCCCTTTTTTCACAGAGTCTGCTCCAGATGTGTCACTAAGCCCTGGCTTATTTCACACTGCTTTGGAAGAGGAAAAATGCTTATGCTTAGGAGCTCGGAAATAATGCAAAGTGGAACTGTGAGCAGAATTTTCTAATTTGGCAGTGGTTTACTTGCTTTACTAAAAAGGAATTATCTACTCTCACATTTTATGTACAATAAAAGTTTGACATGAATGTTTTTCTCACTGTCATTCTCAGAGTCTTTTTGAGCTGCCATTGGTGAAGAGTCTTTATGAGGCACTGTGGGGTCAAGGGGTTGGTTTTCTTCAGGGGAAAAAAAAAATCCTAATTAGTAACATCGTCAATTTCCATGATGTAGGACTCCATCCATGGCTGATTTCAAATTGCTACTGTGCTCTCTTTGAGTGAGATGAGGTGAACGCAAGCTCTTCTTACCAGTCAGGTACAAGCTGACTCCAGCACTCACAAAGGCTGAGTCCTCAAACCTTTATTTACTTGGCATGGCTCTCTTTCATGTGTATCTGAGGTGTTTATCTTAAGGATTCATGGGAGAAAATGGAATTTTATTCAGTTTACAAATCAATTGCTCCTGTATTAATCCCACATGTCTTTTGTTCAATAGAATAACTGATGAAAACAAATGCAATCACAGCCATCTCTTAATTTTATGACTTAAGATGAAACAGTGATTTGATCCAATTCAAATAGCAAGTAATTCTCAAACATATGACGTATCTTTGGATACATTATCAGTGAATAATTTGAAAATATATGAACTACATTCAATAAAATAATGCAAGCCTTGAGTTATGATGCAATTTGAAAGTTATTCAGCTTCCTCTTCTTTTATAGAATTTGCTCAGTTGGTAAAGAATCTGCCTGCAGTGCAGGAGACCTGGGTTCAATTCTTGGGTTGGGAAGATCCCCTGGAGAAGGAAATGGCAACCCACTCCAGTATTCTTGCCTGGAGAATCCCATGGACAGAAGAGCCTGGAAGGCTACAGTCCATAGGGTCGCAAGAGTGGGACACGACTTAAGAGACTAAACCACCAACCACCTGTTTCTTATCTAATACACTCTAATACCTTAAGATGGATATGGCTCTTGATTTCTTTTCCTTGTGTGATACCAAATAGTTAAGTGTTTCTTCCATCTTCTGTTGAGCTATAAGCATCAAAGAGAGATCATTTAAAAGGAGACTGTAAATTCTATGGTAAGATTTTGTTGCCAGTTATGATTAACTAGCTTTTTAAAACTCAATACTTTCATGGATAAGTAGCAATTTTTGAGTCTTTCCAAAGTTAATTAGAAGTTAGCAATACCTATTTGAGCTTCCCAGCCAGGGAACCCGGAGAAGGCAATGGCAACCCACTCCAGTACTCCTGCCTGGGAACTCCCATGGATGGAGGGGCCTGGTGGGCTGCAGTCCACGGGGTCGTGATTGAGCGACTTCACTTTCAGGCACTGGAGAAGGACATGGCAACCCACTCCAGCGTTCTTGCCTGGAGAATCCCAGGGACGGGGGAGCCTGGTGGGCTGCCGTGTTGGGGTTGCACAGAGTCGGACACGACTGAAGTGACTTAGCAGTAGCAGCAGTAGCAGCCAAGGAACCAAACCTGAGCTCTTTTAATTTTGAATAAGCATCTTCTTTAAAGGCTTATTAACACATTTTTTTCTTGTCAAAAAATTGACAGCAGTATAATTCAACATGATTAGACAACAAAGAAATAAATAATATATTGCAAATAAAATTTAATAATAATACAAAAATAAAGTCAATCAGCAGTAAGTAAAACCTATGAGAGATGAATGTCTGAAAGCATACTGACAAAGGGAATTTCATATTTAAATAAAAATGAAAAGTATTTTGTTCAAGTAAATATTATTTTAATAGCTTTCCTTTGATTTTTTAAAAATAAAATCATTCTTTACTTATATCCAACCCATTTTATAAATATAACATTATTTTATGAAATGCAAGAATTTAAGAGAATTATACTCTTCTTGATGGTCAATCATGTAACATCTCCTCTCAGTGAGAGTGATGTATAACATTTAACAGAGACAGAACTAACCAATATTCTAGTCTGCAACACAGCATTATTATAATTCAAATTAAAAGCAAACAGTAAGACTGTGTTAGTCCCTCAGTCATGTCTGCCTCTTTGCAACCCCATGGACTGTAGTCCATGAGGCTCCTTTGTCTACGGAATTCTCCAGGCAAGAATACTGGAGAGGGTGGCCATTCCCTTCTCCAGGGGAACTTCCTGACCCAGGGATTGAACCTGCGTCTCCTGCATTGCAGGCAGATTCTTTACTGTCTGAGTCACCGTGGTCTTCCCAGGTGGATCCCCAGGAGAAGGAAATGGCAACACACATCAGTATTCCTGCCTGAAGAATTCCATGGACAGAGGAGCCCAGTGGACTTACAGTCCATGGGACTGCAGAGTCAGACATGTCTTAGCGAGTGTGCGCACGCGCGCACACACACACACACACACACACACAGTAAGACTATGACCACTGTCCTGGAAAAACTGTTCCAATCTGCCAGTGCACTGTCTGTACCTTGAGCTGGAAAAGGTAGTTTTCAATCTACCCCTTAATAGTACAATGCTTCAAGACATGGTTATATTTGAATACCTCAAAACTTTTTATTTGAATTATAATCTCACTTTCATTGTCATTATTTGCTCACAAATATCATTTTGTTTCCTTGAGAAATATACAATACATAATTTTTAATTAAATATATTCCTAAAATTGAAATAGCTTTGCAGATTGATTACTAAGTTAATTCTCACAGGAGGATAATTTCATTAAAATAAATGAGATTTCTTATTATAAGAAAAATTGTGAAAAGCAACTGGAATTCAAATTAGTAGACTGCCTTCAAAATGTTACCATTTTCCAAGCTGTAGTTTCTATGCCATTAAAATTAGGAAAATATCTCTTCCCTATCTAACATATCCAGCTGTCTTAAAATATAAATGAGATTTTATTATTAATACCAAGAGCATTTAGAAAAATATTGTATACAATTCTATAACATACATATTTCTAAAATCCCAAGTATAAGAACTCATCCAGTGAAAAAATCATAATGAGTATACCAGTAGGTCTATGTTTGTATTTAATTAACATCAACATGATATTCATTTCTTAGTAAGTTATATCTTTTTGAAAAGTAAAGTAACTAAGGAAGTTTGCTGGATACTTACAGTCCCAGGGCGAGGATACGGAATTCTCCCCTGGTAGGAAATCAGCTGATGATTGGGCCCTTCTTTGTGCGCAAAAGGCCCATTAAACACAGTCTGTATGTCAGAGAAATGATACACACATACTGCTGATCCTTTAAAGACTGAGCTGAAAAAAAAAAAGAAAATAGAAAAATATTAACTTTACTACCTCCTAAATTTAAAAGTGATTTTATCGGTCACTATATTGTGCACCTGAAATCATCACAACATTGTTAATCCTATGCATGCTCAATGGCTTCAACAGTGTCTGCTTCTTTGTGATCCCATGGACCACAGCCCACCAGGCTCTTCTGCCCATAGGGTTCTGCAGGCAAGAATACTGGAGTGGGTTGCCACTTCTTCCCTCCAGGGGATCTTCCAACCCAGGGATTGAGCTCATGTCTCCTTAGTCTCCCATCCTGCAAGTGGATTCTTTACCACTGAGCCACTGAGAAAGCCCAATTGCAATATAAAATAAAAAGTTAAAAATAAATAAATAAATTTAAGTACAGCTTGAAATAAATGGCAAAATCAATGATAAAAAGTTGAATGTTATGGTACACAAGTTAAGCCAAAAAACTTGAAATAGCCATTGATATAAAAAGTATTAAGACATTTAGTTCATCCACGAACATAGTAGATATTAAATTACAATAAAGTACTCAGTGAATCTGGCCCAAAATATAGAACAAATCAAAGAAATTTCAAAGTGGTTTGTCTTGGCACCAAAAAAAAGAATTGTTGATTTATTAAAAAATATGATTTGAATTCTAAGTCACCACTGATACAGCCTATCATAATTTAACTCACAAAACAAACCCCTTACTGATAAGGGAATACTCTATCTCCTTGTCTTAAGATTATTTTAATGTAAAAGTGCTCTTATAATGTTGTCCTAAATGGTAGTTGGAGAAATTGTTGTAAATATTCCCTATTAGTCACAGAAGAAAACAACAGGGTTCAAAAATGTCTCATTAAATTACCTTAAGTCAGAAAAACTCATAAAATTTATTTATATCCTTTCTGGAAACTATTTCCATTGTCATTGGGCAGATGGACTGAAACCAACATTTTTCTGACTCACATATTTTTCTTAAATTAGACGCCTAATGGGAAACTTACATGTCCATTGAAAGAACCAAGATATATTATTAATCATTAGCATCGATAGTCAGAAATGACAATTAAAATTTTTCCCTGTTAAATTTATTGGTGTTGGGAAATAACTTTTTTGATACAAATATTTTTTTTCTTAAGAATTTAGTTCTTTTGCTCTGTTCAATTCTTTGGGATTTAAATCAAGAGTTTTTTTTCCTGTTAATTTTTTTTCCTGTTAAACTCACCCCAAAGGATGTGTTTTTAGATATCTTGTAGAGCAAAGTAAATACGATTTATAATCAATTTTACTTTGAATGGTTCATTAAAGTTGAAAATTATACCATATTACCTCCACTGGAGAAGAACAGGAAAATGTTTAGGTTTTTATTTTGTAGTTGATTGTCTAATGAAAATACATTCTAAATTGGTCATATGACAAATAGAGTATTGTACTGAATGCTGGTTAATATTCCTGGCATAAAATAGTACACAGGAAAACATACAGGAAAGGATGAGGATATGTTGGACAGTCTTGAAATGTGATAATTGAGATTGGGCATTTCTGATATATTAGAAAACAAAGCTATTTTTAAAAATATGAAATACTGTCACATCGAAGATGATAACTGTTTCAGTGTGCTGACAGTCGACACTTTAGATTGCTCCTGAAATAAAAATGATAATAGAAATGCCAAGTTCTATTTGTATCATGAGTCTTCAAGTTATTTCCTTAAAACAATATAACTTTTATGCATTATACCTGCATTGTAGCTCATATTTTCCTTTCTTTGAGGAAAAAATTATATAATTATTACAAATACTTCATACAAAACTATTTCAAAAGTATGAGTTCCATTTAAATACATTTAATAATTAAACATGATTAATAAAATGAGAGGGCTGCCTCCTAAGTGCTACGTAAAATTAAAGAGTTGAAAGAATGTTTTTATAATTACTATTACTCAATAAAGGTTATTGTTTAATTCATACAATTTATTTGTTTAATAATTACCTTGATGTTGTAAAAATGCCATACACTAGTGTTGTCCTTGGGTTATCCATTTCCAGCAGAAACACATCCTCTGTAAGAGAGAAATATAATTTTTTAAAGTTTCCAAATATTTAAAAAATTTAACCTAAGAGAACAATTTCAACTATGAAAAGTATTATTCAGAAATACATTCCTGCAGCATCATTATAATTGGACAGGAACTAACAGATAAGCACTTGGTAAAATAAATAAAATATTCACTTCAGTCACTCAGTCATGTCAGACTCTTTGCGATCCCATGGACTGCAGCACGCCAGGCTTCCCTGTCCATCACCAACTCCCAGAGATTACTCAGATTCATGTCCATTGAGTCAGTGATGCCATCCAACCATCTCATCCTCTGTTGTCCCCTTCTCCTCCTGCCCTCAATCTTTCCCAGCACTAGGGTCTTTTCCAAGGAATCAGTCCTTTGCATCAGGTGGCCAAAGGATTGGAGTTTCAGCTTCAGCATCCATCCTTCCAGTGAATATTCAGGACTGATTTCCTTCAGAATTGACTGGCTTGATCTTCTGGCAGTCCAAGGGACTCTCAAGAGTCTTCCCCAACATCACAGTTCAAAAGCATTAATTCTTCAGTGCTCAGCTTTCTTTATAGTCCAACTCTCACATCCATATATGACTACTGAAAAAACCATAGCTTTGACTAGATGGACCTTTGTGGGCAAAGTAATGTTTCTGTTTTTTAATATGCTGTCTAGGTTGGTCATAACTTTCCTTCCAAGGGGCAAGCATCTTTTAATTTCATGGCTGCAGTCACCACCTGCAGTGATTTTGGAGCCCAAGAAAATAAAGTTTGTCACCATTTCCATTGTTTCCCCATCTATTTGCCATGAAGGGATGGATTGTATGCCATGATCTTAGTTTCTTGAATAAACACTAAGAAATTTTTGGGGGACTATTACCTTATGGAAACCATGTTAATAAAGTAATATTAAGTAGAAGAGACATAACAGTATTTAATATGAACTAGAACCATGTAAACCTTTAAACTATACATCAGTGTATAAGAAGATGACCAGTGAGTATTTCTGGCTGACAAAGCTACAGAAATTTTTATGTTTCTTCTTTTTTTCCTGAAATTTCTAAATATCCTTTAATGATAAAATACTACTTTTTTAATTTAAAAAGTATTACAAATCTCAATTTCTCTTTAACCTAGGGTTAGAATTTGAACATGGAAGAAAACTTTTCACAATGACTTTATAAAGTAAGACCTTTTGTCTTTCAGTCAAAATTGCTATAAGTATTTTAAACTATATGGAGGCAAAAGGAAAGTTACAGATGGTGAGGTGCAGGTGCAATAAATGACAGAATCTGGGAGTAGATTTCTGGTAGCAAATCTCAATAATAACCAATTGTTATAAATACAAGGAATATCTGGATTTATGGATCTTTTTGCAAATAACATTCTTGCTGACCAATACAAAGAAAGATGTATTTTTATTCACAATAAATTTAGGACATCTTAAGTAATAAAGTAATAACCACTAGTCTTTCTATATGTGAACGAAGGCTGGCACTATCTAGCTCTCCCTAAAATAAGGAGAGACTGAAACATTCCATGTCACTGAAACATAAATATATAATACTTGTAAAGAATTCTGGAGGAAATAGTGACTAGGTTATAACACAAAATCATACTTAAAACTTCTTTTCTAGAAAAACGGAAGTAGAAATTTGTGTTTCTATGATCAACATAATGGCTTTTCAGGAGACCAAATGTTTATTTCAGTTGTTGTAACTGCTAGAACCATATTTGCACATGAATTTGAGCAAACTCCAGGAGATAGTGGAGAGCAGAGGAGCCTGGCGTGCTGCAGTCCATGAAGTAGCAAAGAGTTGGGCTTGACTGAGTGACTAAACAACAACAGAATCATATTATAACACCTTTTTATTACTTACCTCATCACCTGCTTCAATATTTGAGATTAGTGACCATTTTATACTTCAATGAATTAAAGCAAAATAAAAATCATTTCTAAACATAACTTGGTCAACATGATACTATGATGTGTACCAAGTTATTCTGGTTAAAAAGAGAATTGTTCCTTGGTAGAAAGGAATCAGATTGTCTGTCCTTATTTGACTTGAAACATATAACCCTTCTCATGTCGCACATGCTGAGAATATTTAGTCCCAGGGTCACCAAGAAGAACTAAAACTGGAGCATAAGTCTAAATTCCACTCTGACACTTCTCTAACCTTTGATTCTCCTCATTAACTGTAGTAAGAATGTATAGCTATATTTTCATGCAAATTGATTTTAAACTAGAATATCAGAATTCAAACATATATGAAATACACAACCATTTTAAAAAAGCACAAGCACATTATTACTTATGCATAAATTATACAATACTTCTCTCTGTCAGTCTCTATGACACATATACTAACACATATACAGAACACATTGATCTATATATCATGGTGGATTCAACAAACTATATGTTTCAGCTGTGCACTTAGGGGTAAGAAAGATTTAAAAAACACTTCAGGAAATTCATGAGTAGTACCCAGATCATTAATTCAGAACTGTAAACTTTACAAATTCTCTCTCAAAAGCATTTTTAAATCTCACATTTATGTACCTAATTCATCAAAGTGTGTCTCTGGGCCATCTTCATCAGTTACTGAACACACCAGCCTCGCTTTTAAGAAAGTAGTCCACTTGTTGACAAGGCTACGCAGTCCACCCGTGTCGTTCTGAAATCATTTTGAAAACATATTTCAGACTGCTTAAATAAACAGTGGAATGTATTTAAAATTTAATTTTGATTCTTATTATTTGCGGATTTGTTATAAGCTGAAGGATGAAAATGTTAACCAAATCTGCATATCAATAAAGAGGAATAGTTAAGATATAAAGTACTTAAAAAAAAAGTTATACTGTTATTCTTCTATTTTCAGTTCAACTGAAAATGTATTAAAATGAACTGAATAAACACATACACCTCAAAGCTTTCTAAATATCTCACTGTCTTCAACACAAACATAAATTAAGGTATACAGGGAATCTTGCAGATTCTACAGTGGTCAGGAGAGTGGGCTTATACTTATGCCAAGCAGTTCCCAGTACTTCTATTTTCTTGCCTTCATTTCTCTGCATTATTATTTAATTCTTAGTATTTCTAATCAGATGATTTACATGCATATTCCTCTGGTTAGGGCAGAGAAAATGGTATTTGGATCATTCACAAATAGCCTCTATTGATAACATTTTTTTTCTGTATACCCTGAAGCCTTTTACCTCAGCAGGTGGTCTTACCACTTTGTTCCAAGTGACTGAGAGGCAAATAAGCTACACAATCATTGGAATATTGCAGCACTTTAAATTATACTACTTTAAACATTACATGCTTTAAGAAATGCTTGTGTACGAAAGATGCTAATTATAAATATATCAGGACAAGCCTGTAATACACCTATGTGAGAAGACATCATGAGTTTTCTTGAGTCGCGGGCTTCCCAGGTACCTCGGTGGTAAAGAACCTGTCTGCCAATGCAGGAGACTAGGGTTTGATCCCTGGGTGGGGAAGATCCCCTGGAGAAGGGAAGGGCTACGCACTCCAGTATTTTTGCCTGGGAAATTCCATGTACAGAGGAACCTGGCTATAGTCCATAGGGTCGCAAAAGAGTTGGACATGACTTAGCAACTAAACAACAACAACAACATATATACTCACTGTTGATTAACAAGAACATTTTGATCCCTGTTTGAAATTAGAACTGTATTTTAATTAAGCATTTCTTAATTTCACTATTGTAGACAATTCCTCAATATTTGTCTTTTACTGTTGTTTTGCTGTATTCAGAAGAACTGCTCTATTTCTTTCTATAGTATACAATTTAGCAATTTGTTTTTAATACTAATACATTAAATGCATAAGCAAAATTATTAAAAACTTCTAATTTTTATAAAACCATGACCAAGCTATTTCCTTGGATTGATTTTTTACTGAAACAGTATGCTTATCTCATATGACTAAGGTGAAAAAAACATTAAGTCTAAATGTATCCTTTTAATATTTTATTAATTGGTAATAGTAGATAATAAAAAGTAGGAAGATAAACTTTTGAAAAAAGAAAATGTGCTTATAAAATGTGAATTTCTTACTCTTTCTTCAAATGAGAACCACTTTAACACTTACGGGACATATCCTAGCAGTCATGGAATGAATCTGTTTTGTACTTCTGCTATTGTCAGCCAGCTTCTCTTTGAAGAAGAAATACACCTTAGCATCGTTTGGATCAGTGCCATCTGGTATGACATGTGCATCCACAAACATAGGTTCTAGAAAAAATACAAAGATGATATGTATAGTCATGATGAAAACCCTTCTACTCTCCATCCATGTAGACCACAGGCACATGCTTTCTCCATCTTTGGTATAAAGGAACAATTCAACATTCATAGGCAAAAGTCTAAAAGCAATTAATTATATTCACTAAACATACTGCATTTGGAATGTCAAGTGCCACAAAGTACAGCTATAACATTATAGTTTAAACTATTTTACTCTGTCTGCAATACATTCTGAAAGTACATTAATTGCCAAATCTGTGCCTTGATGAGTTTTCAAAAATTGAAGTTTTCTACCAGCTATTTCCCATGGGATCTGATAGCCATTTCACAGAAAAAAAAAGTTTGTTTTTAAATGTGTGGCTTTCAATCTAGTGCATATAAATTCAAATTCACTGAGGCAGAATGAAAAGTTCAGAGTCCAAGATCTGAAAAACACATTTTTCTTAAAATACAGCATATGAAATGAAGGAGAAACTTTTCAAGACAAAAAATGCAGTCATTTGAAGACATAGAAGGATTCCTTATTTCAAGAACAAAACAACCTTTAGAATACTCTATTTCCAGATGTACTGGAGGAAAAATTTGAAGAAGTAAATGGACAATTGATGCTTTCTTATGCTGGTCTATCAGTGAAATAGGATGCTCAACTATAGTGATTCATGCTTAACTGTGCAATGTTGAATGAATTGCCAAATTTAAGGTCAGTTTAAACTATCCCCAGGGTGAAACGACAAAGATCTTAGCAGTTTCCTCCTCCTCTAAACAATAGCAACTTTTTGAAACTGTACATTAAAGTCAAATAAGCACTTTTCATCATGTGAATTCCATGTGACCCCCCAAATTAGAAACATCTGAATACTGAATATAATAAAATTATCATACTTATAGTTTCCATAAAGTATTGCTCAATTTGTGAAAAAAATAATATATACCACCTTTATAGCCTTAGAATCTAAGCATAAAATAATTAGGAAGAGTTTCTAAATAAACCCTACTCATTATATCTGTCATAAATTTAGGAAAAATTTTAGATTTGGCATTAAAATATACAAGCAGACCAAGTGAATAAATGACACTTCAGTGTAATATGTTACTATTAAACAATTGGAGAAGATTCTTGTCTATAGGCACATGTAATGAATATCACTGTGATTTTATTATTAATATATCCTATGATAATTCCATAATTGTTAATAAAGGGTTATAATATGAAACATGGATCATTTCATTCATTTATTTAGCCTAAATATTTAAAATCACAGAGTACAAAACTGTTGTAACTCATATTTTTTTTAACAATTTTAATGCAATTTTCATTATAAAATTAAACAAAGTAGTTTAAAGTTTGATTCTCAAAAAATGGATAAACTGTTATTTTACCACTTAGCCATTTGGAATTGTGTTGATCAGTTCTGACTGCATTCCTCTTGGTTAAACTTCGAAAAATAGCTGCATCTGTCCCCATGAAATCTATATACATTCCAGAGAAAAGCTCTTCATCTATGAAAAAGCAAAAGTCAACAAAATTAAAAGCAAATCAAATGTTTTAAAGGGTATTTTTAAAATCTGCTTATTAGATCATGACATATATTACAGAGTGTTTAAGTGTTTAAGTTGATAATTGCTTTCCATTGTCCACCAAATAAAAAAAATTGGATAAAGTTTAATCTGGTCTCACATATAATGATCAAAACAACGTTTCCTATATAGAGATGAAATTCCTCTGTCTGACTTAGCTACACTAAATACCTATGTTCATATAGTGTGTATCAGTAATAGCAGAAATAATATAGGAATTAAAAATAAAGAAATGGCTTACTTATTACTTTTTTAATAAGTAAAAACATACTCTAAGAATCAGAAAACTTGACTTCCAATTCTGGCAGGAATTAACAAACTGGAAATTAGGGATAAGTCATTTAGCACCCTGAATCTCAATCTTCTATGGGAACTGGATTATGATCAGATAAGTCTTGCTGAATATTAAAAACTCTATGATTAACACAATTTCATCATTAAAAGTATATGTTTTGTTCTTTGATGCTAGAAGGTTTCTATAAGGTAAACAAAATGCTACTTTATCAATTGTAACACGTAACATATTAACATTATGTTAGTAATATAATACAATTTTAATAAGCCATCTATAGCTTAACATATTAACTTATATAAAATAAAATTTAAAGTCAAGAAAAAAGATATTTTAAGATTGAATTCATTTATCATTTTTATTGACAAAATAAGATATCTTAATCTGTATGTGCATAACATTTGATATTTTGCTTCTTTGTTAACATCTACATTAACTTTTAGTCTAGTAAGGAGAGTAAATAGCAAATTGGTATGTGTGACTTTTTTGTATAAAACAATAGTTAAGTTGAAAAAATAATAAAGTTTATCAGGTTTGGCACACCAACCTACAAGGCATCTGATGTTCTAGAATTACTCCCCTGGTCACTTCAGATTGTGGTCATTTTGACAGAACTGAAACATTTTAAAGCATTCTAAGCTCAGTTTAGTAATAAGCAATACCAGTTGGATTAGGATAGAATGAAGAATGGAATGTTTTCAATATGTGCTCACCAGGTCACAAACTGGACCCCTACCAGTTAGCAAGTGGGTGTGTCAGGCATTGTGTTGCCTTTTCTGCTTCCTAGTAAGAGAGCTGAAGTCCATGGGAACAGATTATAGGGAGACAACAAAAAAACAGGTGTATGAAAGGATTTTGAGCAATTAAGTTTCTTTACAATTTTGTGAACATTTGTGAAGTATCTATGCAAGTATTCTGTAGATACAATTACTGTTAAATTGAGGTAACTTTGTAATTAATTATTTCACAGCTTTGTTATACCCAATTATGCCCCCAAAGAGTAGGTTATACATTTCTGATATTCAGTAGATTTATTAGCACAGCTCTGAATTATAATCTCATATCCGTTTACAGGAAGGGAAAAAAAGGACTCTCAGAGCATGGTTTATTGTGGAGAGGACTGATTCTAATCCGACTGCATACCACTTTTTTAGTTATGTCTTAAACAAAGGGTGGCTCAGTGGTAAAGAATCCACCTGCCAATGCAGGAGAATTGGGTTTGATCCCCGGGTTGGGAAGATTTCCTGGAAAAGGAAATGGCAACCTATACCAGTATTCTTGTGTGGGAAATCCCACTGACAGAGGAGCCTCAAGGGCTGCAATCAATGGGGTCACAAAAGAGTTGGACATGACTAAGTGACTAAACAACAGACACAACAAAAGAATTAGATGGCTGATGTGTGTTGTATGGCAGAAACCAATACAACATTGTAAAGCAATTTTCCTCCAATTAAAAATAAATAAATAAAAATGATAAGATTATTTAAAAAGAATTAGATGGTTAATTGGCTTCATTTCCTGTCATAAATTCTCAGTAATTTTAACAGCAAATTAAGATAACAAAGTTTCTGCTTTATTTTGTGTAGAAATAGTTAATTAATGTCACTTTGGAAATAATTTTGTTTAAGAGTAGAAAAATTTTTTTCAGAATTTCATTGTAAGGTTTATGCAAAGATAAACTTGCTCCTCTTAAACTTTAATCCAAAAATATTTTGATTTCCAGTTGTACTTCCACTGACTAAAAAATATCTCAAGAGGTTTTGGATAGGTTCCTTAATAAGAGATGTCATCTGACTTCGATGTGCTACAACAATTACTAAAAATAGCAAAAGAACACTAGTGCATTGGGTCAGATGCCACGCTATATTGTGAAATTTTGAATTCTTCTAATTCTCAACATTTCTTGGCACTTTAATATTTTAACCAAGTTATATAGTGCATTGCAATTGAACAGAAATGATAAAACATCAAATGGCAAAGTGAGATGGCTACACAAATGAAATGCACAATATTGGAGATAGTATTACAGAGATAATCAATGGAATAAATAAAATGATAAATATAAGGTTATAAAACTTCATGCTATTTTTAGTTTCAGCTAAGTTAAGCAAATTGTTTAATGATTTTCTTTGATAGTAAAAATCATGTCAATCAAGATATTAAAAAGTATAGTATAAGAACATGAGCCTAGGAATCAAAGTCTTTGAGAAATGAAGACTAATTACAATCTTCATTTTGTAAATGAATCCAATTCTCTAAGGGCAAAACTATTACATGACTTATCATATAGTTTAAAAGAAAAACTTATAATGCCTTGTTTTAACTCTTTTTTGTTCTAAATAATACTTGATGAGATAAAATTATAGTATCAGTGTTAATAATAATTTTGAATTTCTAAGTTTAGAAATTCATAGCATTTAACTTGAGATAAGTGAAAACTTTTTATAGTTATCTAGTAGTATACAAATCATAGTTTCTAAAGGCAAATACTTTCTGAGACATTGCTTCTATTAAATAATATTTAGAAACTTATTTGAAAATACTCTGCATCAGACCTAATTAGATATCCTGTAGTTGCAAAGCTTTCTAATTTTTTGTCCTAATGATACACTTTCATTTCCTCCCTGACCAATCTGAATGACTATACGGAAATAATTTACTGGATAATTTCCAAGTTCACATTTTAGTCAATGCTGGAGTACTTATCTTAATTTAGTTTCCAGATCTGAGAAAGAAGGATGAGTTGCCTTTTTAAATGAATCAAAACAAAGTCTGTTGAACACAGTAATTATTTTCCCACCTGTTCTTTTGCTAAATGATGCGATTTTACCACTGGCAAAACATAGAGAAACAAAAAGGAAAAAGCTTTTACTATATAATTGGCATACTGAAATGTAAGATTTGTCTTATAGTCAACTAATGTTAAGTCAGACGTATTTCAGAAGTGTCTTAATTACATATTCTAATATGTCTTAAGACATATTTTAGAATGTCTTTCAAGTGAGTTATAGATAGGCACTGATGACTGAGACTCAATTACATTGATTTGTTTATGTGTGTAGCAGGGAGCAATTGGGCCTGATTCTTAACTGATATAATTTACAAAATATGAGGAAATAAAAAAGTGATTTTACTAGTACCTGTTTTTTTTGTATGGGAACTTTTAGACATTTCGTAGAGAATGAAGTTGGCTAACATATGCACTTTGCTATTTCTTCACATGAAAGTAATACCAGTTTTAATTGTTTGTAAAAGATAACTAAAACATCAGAAAAAGAGAATATACAAGATAACAACTACACTGAAATTTGCTTCCTAATATATATGGATATGTACATTTACAACAATATTTATTAACATATGTATACATACATACACTTTTTAAATCGTCGACTTACTCTATGATGACAGTAGTCATATTAGATGAAAAAAAACATGGCTATCATTTACTCAAGAATATTACTGGAAATAAGAAATCAGAATTTCTCACAACTTGCTTTCTATTATTTTACTCATGTACTATCATACACACAACTATTCAAAATAGACATATGGTATAATGTATTTATTTTCTTTAATTTCCTTTTTTAAACCTCCCCTTTTATTTTCCACTTACTGATCATAACAGACACTGTGTTCACATTGGGGTTGAAAGAGCAGCGTCCTTTTCCAGATTCACACTTGGAGTCAATCATGAAAACTTGGTCCTTTATTACAGATAAAATTGAAAATGCAAAAAAAAAATAAATTACTTTATCTCAATTAACCAATTGTTCTTTTGTAAAACAAAGCATCATCATGAATAACACACCTTCTACTTGGTTGCTTATGCTTTCCCAATTTTACTATATTAAAGTTTTCTTGGCCTATATGAAGAATGCATCTGTAAGTTATAAACTAACCTTAGCAGGTCAAGTTCTCATCCTATTACACTCCCCATAAAGTTAATCCAACAAGTTCTCAGATCAACATCAATCAAAAACACTTGACTTAGAAAAATGGTACAGATAAACCTATTCCAGTGTAAGAATATAGATGCAGATGTAGAGAATGGACATGCAGACACAGGGGGAAGGGGAAGGTGAGACAAACTGGGAGACTAGGATTGACATATATAAATTACCACATGGAAAAGAGAAAGCTAGTGAGAACCTGCTATAGAACACAGAAGGCTCAGCCTGGGCTCGGTCATGACCTAGTTGGGTGGGATGGGGGTGAAGAGGGAGGGAATATGTGTCTACTTAAGCTGACTCACTTATTGCACAGCAGAAACTAACATCGTGAAGCAACTGTACTAAAAAAAAATCAACACTTGGAAATCAAGGATCATCGTAAACCTGAACTAGATATGTTGAACACTGCCCAAAAGAAGAAAACTGTTCACAGAGAAACAATGTGTATAAGGTTTATGATACTTTCAAAATAATCAAGATCTTTTTTAAATATAAAATTTTACGTATCACTTTGTTACAGAAAGCATTGTACTAGATTTAACAAAATAATTCATAATTTAGTTTAAAATGCTTCATTTACTCATTCATTTACTTAACAAAAATTTAACAAGCATCTACTATGTGCCTAACATTGAAAAAACATTGGGGACAGAGTGAACAAAATAGACAAAACTTCTTACTGTAGGTAATTTATATACAAAGGTAGAGAATGGAAATATAGAATATAAAAAGAATAAACATGCAAAATATTGAGTACGTTAGATGGTACTCAGAGCTTCGGAGAAAATTTAAGCAGGGAATGGGGGCAGTGGGTTCAATTAGAAATACAATGGTCAGTGTAGCTTCACTGAGAGGGAGCCTTTTGTTGGTATATTTATCTTTTCACTTATGTAACGTTAGTAAAAGCTACTACTAAAATTCAAAGAAAAAAAATGATCACATTGGAGGTTGTATCAGATGATGGAAGACCTTAATTATTAGGCTGTTTTCCAAAATTATCCCAAAGAAAATGCAAGCTCAACATTTTTGAGTATGGAATAAAAGGATCAAAACATTGTTTTAAGAAGACTGGACCTTATCTTGTTCTTTAAGAAGACTGAGAATGGTGGCTATAAAAACAAACACTGCATTCAGAAAATAAATTTGTTCTCAAGTCAGTAGTCCAGGAATTAGGGAATAATAATCTGACATGCTAGGATCTCATTGGTTAGCATTAACAGTGGTAAAGATATGAGAAGATCTGTAAAGTGAAAATAGATAGAGCTTGACAATCAATAACTAATTGGATATAGTTCAAGAAGATGAAGAAAACAAAGCTGATTCTGAAGTTTTGACTCTTTAAAGAAAAACTATTTCATTTTTGTTATACAGAGCTTAATGTATTGCAGGAAATCTCTGAGGTAATGGGAAATTATAGAGCCTCAAAAGAATCACAGTGCTCTAGCCTAGACAGTTCCTAACACAATGCTCTTCATGGATTAACTCCAAAGATGAGGAAAATATGGCTTTTCCAAGATCACACATAGATAAACAGTGACAAAAGCAAAATTCAGTCATGTCTGTTTTCCAAGAGGGCATCGTTTATACAATGTTGTTGTTGTTCAATTGCTAAGTCACATCTGACTCTTTGCAACCCCATGAACTCCAGTACAACAGGCTTCCCTGTCCTTCACCATCTCGCTGAGTTTGCTCAAACTCATGTCCACTGAGTTGGTGATGCCATCCAACTGTCTCATTCTCTACATCACTTTCTCCTCTTGCCCTCAATCTTTCCCAGCATCAGGGTCTTTTCCAATGAGTCAGTTCTTTGCATCAGGTGGCCAGAGTATTGGAGCTTCAGCTTTAGCATCGGTCCTTCCAGTGAACAGTCAGGACTGATCTCCTTTAGGATGGACTTGTTTGATCTCTGTGCTGTACAAGCGACTCTCAAAACTCTTCTCCAGCCCCACAATTTGAAAGTATCAGTTCTTTGGTGCTCAGTCTTCTTTATGGTCCAGCTCTCACATCTGTACATGACTACTGGGAAAACCATAGCTTTGACTATAAGGAACTTTGTCAGCAAAGTGATGTTTCTGCTTTTTAATAAGCTGTCTAGGTTTGTCAAAGCTTTTCTTCCAATGAGCAAGTGTCTTTTAACTTTGTGGCTATAGTCACAGTCTGCAGTGATTTTGGAGCCCAAGAAAATAAACTCTGTCACTATTCCACCATGAAGTAATGGGACCAGATGCCTTGATATTTGTTATTTTGAATGTTAAGTTTTAAGCCAGCTGTTTCACTTTCCTCTTTCACCCTCATCAACAGGCTCTTTAGTTTCTCTTCACTCTCTGCCATTAGAGTGGTATCGTCTGCATACCTGAAGTTGTTGATATTTCTCCCAGCAAACTGCATTCCAGTTTGTAAGTCATCCAGCCCAGCATTTTTCATGATTCACTCTGCAAAGAAGCTAAATAAGCAGGGTGACAATATATAGGTTAGATATACTCCTTTCCCAATTTTGAACCAATTGCTTGTTCCATGTCAGGTTCTAATTGTTGCTTCTTGACCTGCACACAGGTTTCTCAGGAGGCAGGTAAGGTGGCTGGGGATTCCCATCTCTTTAAGAATTTTCCAGTTTGTTATGATCTACACTTATGTATGGACGTGAGAGTGCATTATAAAGAAAGCTGAGCGCTGAAGAATTGATGCTTTGAACTGTGGTGTTGGAGAAGACTCGAGTGCCTTAGACTGCAAGGAGATCCAACCAGTCAATCCTAAAGGAAATCAGTCCTGAAAATTCACTGGAAGGACTGATGCTAAAGCTGAAATTCCAATACTTTGGCCACCTGATGGAAAGAACTGACTCATTGGAAAAGACCTTGATGCTGGGAAAGACTGAAGGAGGGAGGAGAAGGGGATGACTTGGATGGCATCACTGATGCGATGGAGATGAGTTTGTGTAAGCTCCAGAAGTTGGTGATGGACAGGGGGGCCTAGTGTGCTGCAGTCCATGGGGTGGCAAAGAGTTAAACACAACTGATCAACTGACCTGATCTGATCTGACAGTCAGAGGCTTTAGTGTAGTCAATGAAGGAGAAGTAGATGCCTTTCTGGAATGCCCTTGCTTTTTCTATGACTCAGCAGATGTTGACAATTTGATCTCAGGTTCCTCTGCCTTTTCTAAATCCAGTTTGAATATCTGGAACTTCTCAGTTCACATACTGTTGAAGCCTAGCTTGAAGGATTTTGAGCATTATTTTGCTAGCATGTGAAATGAGCACAACTATATGGTAGTCTGAACAATCTTTGGCATTGCCTTTCTTTGGGATTGGAATGAAAACCAATCTTTTCCAGTCCTCTGACCACTGCTGAGTTTTCCAAATTTGCTGGCATATTGAGTGCAATATTTTTACAACCTCACCTTTTAGAATTTTAAATAGCTTAGCTGGAATTCCATCACCTCCACTAGCTTGGGTCGTAGTGATGCTTCTTAAGGCCTACTTGACTTTTCACTCCAGGAGGTCTGGCTCTAGGTGAGTGATCACACCACTGTGGTTATCTGGGTCAATAAGATCTTTTTTTGTATAGTTCTTCTGTGTATTCTTGCCACCTCTTCTTAATATCTTCTGCATCTTCATAACATTTCTCTCCTTTACTGCACCCATCTTTGCATGAAACGTTCCCTTAGTATCTCTAGTTTTCTTGAAGAGAGCTCTAGTCTTTACTGTTCTATTGTTTTCCTCTATTTCTCTGCATTGCTCACTTAAGAAGGCTTTCTTATCTCTCCCTGCTGTTCTCTGGAACCCTGCACTCAGTTGGGTATATTTTTGCTTTCCTCTTTTGCCTTTAGCTTCTCTTCTTTTCTCAGCTATTTATAAGGCCTCCTCAGACAATTTGCCTTCTTGCATTTCTCTTTCTTGGGAATGGTTTTGGTCATCATCCACTAAGTAATATTACAATCCTCTGTCCACAGTTCTTCAGGCACTCTGTCTACCTGATCTAATCCTTTGGATCTATTTGTTCCCTCCACTGTATAATCACAAGGGATTTGATTCAGGTCATACCTGAATGGTCTAGTGGTCCATACTTTCTTCTATTTAAGGCTGAATTTTCCAATAAGCAGTTCATGATCAGAGCTGGTCAGCCTCTGGTCTTGTTTTTGCTGACTGTATAGAGCTTCTCCATCTTTGGCTGCAAAGAATATAATCAATCTGATTTCACTGTTGACCATCTGGTGACGTCCACATGTAAAGTAGTCTCTTGCATTGCTGGAAGAGGTTGTTTGCTATGATCAGTGTGTTCTCTTGGCAAAACTCTGTTAACCTTTGCCCTGCTTCATTTTGTACTCCGAGGCCAAACTTGCCTATTACTCCAGGTATCTTTGACATCCTACTTTTGAATTCTAATCCCCTATGATGAAAAGGACATCTTTTTTGGGGGTTAGTTTTAGAAGGTTTTGTACATCTTCATAAACTGTTCAGCTTCAGCTTCTTCATCATTAGTGGCTGGGGCATAGACTTGGATTACTCTTTAAACAAATAATGATAAACTTGCTGGAAAAAATAAAATTTAGTAAACCTGTATGTGTAGCCAGAGTCATATACTGATTTGATGGTAGTAGTGATAGTTTTCAATGCAGGAATTGAGGAGATTGTGTGGGTATCACTTGTTCTCCACTGACTTCTTTCTCCATTGCACAGCCTCCTTGGGCTCACACAGTAGAGTATAAACCTTGTCATCACCAGGAGAGTATGTGGTAGACCCACTAATTCAAGCACCCTGCAACAATTCTTCAAACTCATCTCCTAAGAACTCTATTTTTTACAATTCATCTTTCTTCTCCCTTCTTGCTTTCTCATAACCAGTTTATGGTCCATGTTTTTTAATCTTAATTTTTTTTTGCAAAAGTGTTAATTTCCTTCATTCTGTGATTTTTCATTGCACCTGCAACCTGTAAACACATGTCTATCTACTTTCTTCATACTTGCCTCCAAACTTCTAAGCATTTTGCGAAAGGTGATCCAACAAGGTAAGTTCAACATAGTACAGATTTGTGATCATCAGCTTAAAATGAATCCTCTACATTTCTTGTATCTTCCAAAGGTACTATGCCAACTGGTTCTTCCATTAATAACTTCAAACCAATGCCACTATTGTCAAATCTCCTAATTTATTCTCAGCTCATATGATTGACATGTTGTTGAGAAAGTGAAGTCTTTAAATGAGACATCTTGAGTTCATCACTACCAAATACATACACTACCAAAACCTATACACTAATGCATCTACTAATACATGAGAGGAAATATTTCTCTTACTCTAAGGCCAATCCTTTCACCAATGTTTTAGATCCTATCTTATTCTTAGGCATACTTAGGTATACTTTCCATTATCCTTACTCTTTCTTTAATTTTATTAACTGGATCCTTTACAATACCATTTCAACAACTCCTTCAGTTCTTAAACATTATTCTCCTTGAGAATCACATTTCTTAGGGACTAACACATTCATCATCATTTCTGACTTCTTACTTTCTTCTCAATCCATTTCAGTTGGGCATCCAACCTCAGTTGCTGTACTGAAAATCATTTTGACAAGATCCCTGATGCCTATTATGTATACAATTCAGCACTTATATTTTTAGACTTCTTTCTTGGATCTCAATGGTATTTGGGATTGTTGCTCACTTCTATCTTTTTCAGTGACTTGTCTTTATTCTCAGCACCAACACATGCTTGTTTTTTCTTTCCTCTCCTTCTCTAGTTTCTTAGTTTTTTTTTTTTTTTGGAGATTCCTTTTCCTCCATATGGCTATTTAAATTTAGAAGATCCTCAAGTCTCAATCATAGTCTCTTCTCTTTTCACACTGTATTCTTCCTACACAATTAACTTACATTTTGTTTGGGCTTCAGTTACTCCTATAAGATAAATACTCAAACATTTATAGAGCCAACTTTATACTCAGCTGCCTACTTGATATTTCTACTTGTATCTTTCAATAGCATCTCAGACTCAAAAAAATCATATCCAGGCTAACAAACAAAATAAACAGAAGAATCAATGTAACACAAAATAAAAGTGACAGCACAGATCTGTTCATGATACTTCATGCTTTAGATTGTTTCAGTTGCTTCTCCTTTGACACAAGACAAAGATCAGTATCCAAAAGGTAGCTTACAAGTTCTGACAAGATTTTTTTCTGCCATTATTCTTATTAAATGAATACATCCTTGTAGACTGAATCGACAAGAGGAAATAATAGGACCAGAAAGACAGTACATGGTGAAAGATCAGGAAAAAAGGCATAGCAAAATATTCCATGGCCAAAGATGTCAATAAAGGTGCTGAAAAATAGAGGGCATTACATGTTGTAGATTGGTCTAGGAGAAAGCATGCTGATTAGGGAAGCCAATATGATCACTGAGAGTCCTGGTTGTTAGGAAAGAATTTTAATTAGTAGGTGAAAATTAAATTCAGATTAGGAAGGTTTAATGTAAGATAGGGAAAATAGGAATATAAAAGCTGAAAAATAGTTTATTAGTCCAAGAAGTTTTGTGATAAAGTAAAAGAGAGTGAAAGGAGAGGGTTGAAAAAAGTCACAGGAAGGGAAACCTACTTTTAAAGAAGAAAAAAAGAGTAAATGCAGGGGAAAGGAAAGAAGATGTAAAACAGTGATGAAGACTAAAGATTAAGCAACTTTATTGGTAAGACAAATGCACAGGTATTCTTCTGACATGAGAAAAACTACAGTAAGATGAATAAATAGAAAAGTTTGGTGATTAATTTGCTTTAAAAACCACAAGGAATAAATTGAATGCCTGTGATATTCTTGACCAGTCAAAGTCAAAGTTGTCTGATTGATAAGTTGCAGCATCAGGGGCTTAAACAGTATTCACTTAGGAGAACTGATGTTATGGATGCATCTGATAAAATCAACCAGAGATGAGATGTAACATTCTAAGATTGCACAGCAAAATTAACCAACGACTGTTTCTTATTAATGTTTTATTCATTATTTAAAGTCATCATTTACTTGTGTTGCTTTATTTTTTTTCCAGGAACAGAAGACAGTGGATAAAAGAGAAGAACCATGTTAGGAACCTATGTAGCAAGAACTGTAGACTCTGAGAAGCATCACTGAAGGCTCTAGGAAAGCACTGACTCAGTTTCACAATATAATGGAAGGGCCATAGAGTCTAATAAAATTATGTGATGTTCCAAATGCCAAGCAGGGTTATATAATATCCTTTGAGAACCAACAAATTGCTATTAGACAGATAGGTAAAAAGGTGGTGGACGGTGTCACAGAAATTAAATGTAATACTTAATGAAAGTGCCACCCTAACCTTCATTTTCAAAGTGGTTTCAAGTACAAGAAACATGCGTATCTTAGTACAAACAGGATGTTAGCAGTAAGCACTGCCTCTGATCACTACAAAATACAGTGTTAGTGATGAATAAATAGAACTCTCTCAAAATACAATATTCTGCATCATGGCCTTTTATTTTAAACTAAATAAAACAAATACATTAGGTGTTTGATAAAACTGTGCATTTTGTATCTGTATTATTAATTACATATTATAGATATGTAAATATGATGTGGAAAAACACTGACTTAAGCTATTGAGTAAAACATATAAAGCTTAAAATTTTATAACCCTTTTCACACTTAAATATGCTCTTAAGATATAATTTAAAGAGATTAATTAATGGAAATGCTTCCACTTTGAAACAGATCTTTTGAAGTGAGACTGAAGTAGTTCTTATTTAGTAAAGTGATTAAAATTTATTTCATGCTGGTTTTCCAAAGGAGATTATTTTTTTGGACCAACTTTCCAATTAAGGCTTGAAGTGTATGTTGGGCAATTTGTACATGGGAAAATGATTTTATTTAAAAATCTGTGCTCTGAAAAGTGCTATGCGATCACTGGCCTGTACAGTGACTGCACACCGTTCTTAGTGGAGTGTCTGGCAGACTGCAGATGTCTGAGGAAGTAGTTTATTTAATCAATTGATCACAGACCTGTGGTTCTAATGACAAGCTCAACGCAGACAACTGTACTCTTCTAAGAAGCACAGCTTTACCTTTCTTTAAGAATTTTAATATTTCGTATCATCTTGAACCACTTGTAAACATCCCACTTTGGGATCAAATATCATCACTATCTTACCCTCTGAGTAATTATGAAATCACACCCCCTCCTTTATTTTCTGCTGCTTGTACATTTAGTTGAAGGGAAAAGGCTACACTTGAAGTAACCTGGCAAATAGGAACCAAGCATATTTTGCTTTTAAAGGGCTTGAATTTTTTTATGGCCACTAATTATATTTCCAAGTTTTTACTGTTTTAAGAAATCTTTGACACTGACATCAAAATAAGAATAAATAATTGTTACACTTACCTCTGATCTCCTCCCTCTGTTCAAATAAGCACAGACTGGGCTGAAAGCACCACTCCCACAGACATACAAATGCGTGCGGTTGAAGGCCTGAATTACACGGACAAAGTTCCCGCAGCCATGCTAAAAGAAAAGGAAAACTGAGCAGTTAGAAACCCAATGACTTTTATCGCTATTTCTAAATATTACTGTGACACTTTGCTACGCTTTTTTCTTTATGCCCTAACTTTTTAACTAGTTAGGAGATAACAAGAGAACCATGGTTCTCTTGTTTATTCCATGGTGTATTTTAGGAGGAAGGTTGTCTATCAGAGAATGAGTAAAATGATATGTCTTTCTCATATTTCAATATTTTTTATATTGGGTATGTCTTTATGTTCTGAAATTTTATGAACTTACTCTTTATCTGAGAAAGCTTAGAAATTGAAAGTATACCAAACTGTTTCTCAATTTTTCCTCAAAACATTACACACACACACACACTCACCCATGTTATATAAAACATGTTGTGAATGAATTGTGCTTATAGAAGTCCATGGTGTTATCACTAGTTACAGTGGCAAACACTATTAGCCTTCATAATGGGGTGAATGAGATAAATGTTACACAAATGCCAGCATTGTCACTTTCTATGAAAATAACCGAATCATGATCTCTCTGCTCTTGGTCCTCTAAAATACTTTCCTCTTTCCCAAAACTCCTTTCTCACCTGCTCCCAGTCCAACCATTGGAAAGGCTGTCATTTATTCACTCAATGAAATGCAAAATGATTATGGTGATTATAAGCTAATTATGACCTTGCAGAAATACATAAATATGGTCAGCACCAAATGCAGAGCTCCGTGACTGAATTAACCATTGCATGTTCTACACTTACAGAGTCACCATCTTTTGCTGGGTACACATAATCAAGCCTGAGGCTGAATATTGTTCCCTTCACAAAGTCATTGTTCTAGCAATGTTTAATAATATTACACATTAGAGAAAAACATTTTTATAAAGAAATATGTCAGACTCAGTGGTTTTCCGATGGGTGTTCATACAGTGTATTTTTTTCTCTTCTAGGTACCACAAACTTTACTAATATCTTATAATGCACATTATTTATATTATTAAAAAGTTTAAAAAATTTTGCCAAAATTTAATTTAAAGTCAATATTATTTTATATTTTCTCATCATTTTCTCCTTTTATACTCATTATTACTTGACAGCAAATATATGCTTATTTTCATATGTAGTAATTGTATACATAAATATATGTTTCTGTTATGGATTTTTATTATTAAATAATCAATCACCAACTCTGCTGTTAAATAAACTTAACCTCACAAAGCAGACTATATTCTTTATTTTTAAGACATTAAGAATTTTTGTTAAATATATAGTGTCATTGTATCTTGACACCTGTTTATAGAGGTGCCTAGAAACTGACTACATACTGCAGTTGAAATGCGTTTCTCTGGAGAAAAATCATAGATGAAATATGGTGTATATACAGTATGTCTATGTTTAAAGGTATATGTGAGCAATGAGACTTATGTTTATTTTTTTTCACATCCAAGTTCAGTCATTCTGGGATTTTATAAATAATATTTTCCTGTAAAACATGAAATGGATTCAGTTCTATTAATAAGAGATTATGTTTGTTTCATCCTAAGGTTTGCAGATTTTTCCATTATGAATTATTGGCATTGAGATAAAGGAAGAAGTCACTAATATCTCTTTTACACCTCAAATACAGATTATACTTGTTTCACTGTATATGTTTATATCTACATATATGTTATGTATGTCTTTATGATGGCTACTATTTTTGAAAGTTTATTATGTGCTAGACACGAGAACAATCCTTTTGTACACTTAACCTCTTTTACTTTCCAGGAAGATTGATATTTTACCTTTAGAGATCACATTTATTGAGCAAACTATGTATATTCACTCAGGTTTTCAACTCAACCCCTTTTAGAAGCACGAAGTTTAGATCTTGTTTAGTTAACTTGCCTAAGGTCATATGGAAATAGGTAAAGCAGATTTTCAAACACAGATGCGTTTAACATTGAATCTTGTACTTTTAACCACTTTATAATTTGCCATTTGGTAAGAATCATAGTTGTTAGATGGAAGCTTTTATAACAGTTATAATATTTACAGAGCTCTTAATCTTTTGATGTTGTTTTTAATCTTCCCAGCAATATTCCAATTAAAATATTAGCCCCATTTTAGTGAGGAAATTGAGTCCCCCAAAAGGTTAAAGGAAGTGCTCTAGGTTTAATAAGTAACTCAGGTATGAATTTGAATATGTCTTAAATACGGTTGTCCTCTACCACGAAGCACCACAGGTCTCCCTGGTGGCATATATGGTAAAGAATCTTCCTGCAGTGCAGAAGACCCAGGTTTGAGCCCTATGTCAGAAAGATTCCCTGGAGAAGGAAATGGCTACCCACTCCATTATTCCTGCTTGGAGAATTCCATGGACAGAGGAGCCTGGCGGGCTACAGTCTATGGGATCCCAAAGAATCAGACACGATTGAGTGACTGAACTTCAACCACGAAGGCAAATTCCCATACTATCTGATGATGCGTTACTGTGCTCTTCCAGACCCTCCTCAAAGGGAAAAATAAATCAGTCACTTTAATTGTTGAAAATCATTTTCTAGGTCCTTTCCATTTCCATTGTACTTAGTTTCTATCCACATTATTTCTGAACTAGACCACTGCAGTCGTGTCAATTCCATCCAGAAAATATTTGTTTACTGAACTCATTCTGTGCAAGCATTGTACATGGTGCTAGCAACACTGAAATAAATAGATTCAATTCCCATTTTCAGGGCAAGGAGAGCATACACATCAGGCAGTAGCAGATGTTATAAGGTTATTTTTTTCAAAATGTGCTATACAAGGAAAGAAGAGAAAATGAGTAATACTGAACTGGGTATAAAGGTGAGAGTGAATGAGTGAATGTCATATGAGCTGCAGTTTGCAGAATAAGCTACAGATTTTCACAGGCAAAAACAGAAGAAAGGGACATTCCAACAGAAAACAGCATGAACAAAAAAAACCTGAAGGCATGACAGTGCAGGCTTTAGTTGGAGAATAGTGCCTAGAGGGTAGAGGGGATTCCTATGTGATGAAACTAGAGAGGCAATTAGAACTGGACTATCATTGAGCTGTAGGATGAAGGGCAGCAGAGCGTGAATTCTCAGAGCCAGATGATTTAGGTTCAAACTCTGATTTTGTCTTTTACCAGCTGTTTCAGCTTGAGAATGCACTTAGCCTCTCTGCGCTTCAATCTTCTCTGCAAATGGTGATGATAATATTTGTTGAAAGCAGTATACCACTAAAGTACCTGGAACAGTGTGTGGCACATAATAAATACACCCAACGTTAGGTATCAGATGTTTTCATATATATTTTCAGTTCCAACTGTCAGTACAAACCCTGTGTAGTGGACAGAAATTGTCTTGCATAAAGTTTAGTACAGGTCCTGACCACAATAGACATCCATAAAAGGTCAGCGGAATGAGACGTTAGGGAAATTCAATACTGTGGATGCTTTCTTTTTATTGCTTAATTCTTTCAAAACTATTTCAAGGTATAAAGCTAAATGAAAAATGAACGTTCTAACATAATGGAGAATATACCATTTTATGTATGTATATACATACATACACACACACACACACATACACACACACACATACACACACACACACATATGACCTATATGAAAATGCTGGAAGACTATACCTCAAATTTTTAAGTTACTAAGTTTGGGTAGTATAATTTATTTTATTTATTTAATAGTGTGTGCTAATTATGTGCTATGTACTTTTCTAAGCTCTCTACAAATGTTAATTTACTAATCCCCTTAGTAACTCAATAAGGTAGGTTTTATGTGTGTATCTATTATACAGATAAGAAAAATGAGGCATAGAGAGGTAACCAGACACTGTTTTTTGTTGCTCTCTATGAGCTCTTCTGGGCCTTCAAAGATTTCTGTGTTGAACAGGTATTAAGTGTGTAACTTTAAAATAGATGTTTTAAAAAAAATATGTCTTGGAACTCAGATTAATAGGGCTTTAAAAATATTGACTCTTCATGATCCATACTACATTTTTTCTTCTTGGTCTGGGAAATGTATCAAGGTACTTTGATATATGTATTCCTAAAGAAAATACATTTTCAAGTAGTTTAGGGTCCTCTGGTCACAGAAACATGGAAATTGATATCCTACAATTAATAAATCAAGTTTGACATTGTGTATACGTAATGTATATAGGTCTAAATATATGTAACCCTGCTTAATTTTTTAATGATCTCTTACAGTATTTACTTAGCACATTCATTGTATCCTATCTCATTGGATATGTCTGACAGCATGTGCTATTGTTCAGGGCTCAGTTTATTTATAGTATTAATAAAATATCAACATTTGGAAATAAATGGAGCATGTAGGAATGCAAATAAATAGGGGCAGAAAGGGAAATTGGGAGGTAAGTTATACTCTCTTTAGCTGAGGTAGAAAATAAGCTATATTGCTACCATGATATTTTATTTTATTTATAAACATTAGTTTATTATATAGTATTATTATGATATTACCTGGGGTCAAATTTCAAATTATATTGAATTATTTTCTAATGAATGAGCATTATTTTCATAATTTCAATTAAAATTTGATACAAGTAAAAAATATAAAGAAGGATGTTTGTACGCTTTTTGATTGCTATAAAAGTAGGAAATCTGTTACTAGGTTATGCTTTTTTTAGTAGAAAACTAACATAATATTTTTAAGTAAAACATTAATTTAACCACCATATATTTTTAAAATTATATATAATGAATTTATAAATTTAGTAATCTAAAGGCATTAATAGCTCATTATCCACTATGTCCTACTCCCAACCTGAGACAATGATTTGGAACAGATTGCCATGCTTACTGCTTCCATTTCTGTTTTTTTCAGATCTTGTTTAAATTTTATGAAGTGCCTAGATACAGATCTGGGCACTAGAGATAATGACACTTACTACCTGGCATTTCCAACCACTAAAAGTGCAGTGAAATAAGTTCTAGAGGTTTCAAGTGCACACGCAGGGAGGGGCAGCTAGCCCAGTTCTCAGTGGTAAGAGAAGATTCTCCAGAGAAGTGACGTTTGAACTGTCATTTGAAAGAGTGGGCAGATGATTCCCAGGCTAAAAAGATGGGAAGGTAATTGCTCCTTGGAAGAAAAGTTATGACAAACCTAGACAGCATATTAAAAAGCAGAGACATTACTTTGCTGACAAAGATCTGTATAGTCAAAGTTATGGTTTTTCCAGTAGTCATGCTTGGATGTAAGAGTTGGACTATAAAGAAGGCTAAGAGCTGAAGAATTGATGCTTTTGCTTTTGAACTTTGGTGCTGAATAAGACGCTTGGGAGTCCCTCGGACTGCAAGATCAAAACAGTCAATCCTAAAGGAAATCAATCCTGAATATTCATTGGTAGGACTGATACTGAAGCTGAAGTTCCAATACTTAGGCCACCTGATGTGAAGAGCTGACTTATTAGAAAAAACCCTGATGTTGGGAAAGATTGAAGGCAGGAGAAGGGGATGACAGAGGATGAGATGGTTGGATGGCATCACCAACTCAATGGACATGAGTTTCAGCAAGTTCTGGAGATGGTGAAGGTCAGGGAAGCCTGGCGTGATGCAGTCCACAGGGTCACAAAGCATCGGACATGACTGTGCAATTGAATAACAACAAATCAAACAAGAAGGGAATCACCTGAAGCCTGTACCAATGGCTGAAAGAGAGAAAGGGTACAACTTGTTTGAATCTCAGTATCACTGAAATAAAAAGGGGAAAAGTTAACATAAGACCTAACGTAGCTGCCACCAAAGCTATCAAATTTTTCATAAATACCCCACCTGCAATGAATTTTTCTTTCTCTTTTGTGTGTATCCTTAGCATTTATCATAATCTCCCTGGAGAGGTGGCATGTTTCATCAACTAAGAGCAAAAGATCTAGAGCCATATGTGCTTGAGCCAGACAGAGGCCTCTCACTTAGTAGTGCAGCTTTGGGTAAATTCCTCATTCTCTCAGTGATTCAGTTTATCTATCTTAAAAATGAGGATGATGACAAGGTCCATCTTGTAGCACTGTCACAAGGATTAAAATAAAACACTTAGAACAGCACCCGGCCCATTCTATCAGGTATTGGCTAATATTAGTTGATAATTACTGTATATATGTCTCATCATCTCTAGTGTATTATAAAGGCTCCTAAAGGTAGGAATTCCACTTTAATCACCTCTGGTTTCTTCACAATATCTAACTGATTTGTACAAATTAAAATAATCATTTCCTGCATTTAAAAAAATGAAATATCAAGTAATTAGATGATATTTATTTCAAAAGATCCAAAAGATTCTTAAATATTTGGTTTCATGAGAAGTATAATTAAAATACATTGTTTGTTCTACAGAACTTCTATGTAACTATCATTCTTCTACTGCTAGTATCTTGACTAAAAAAAATTATTTTTAAGAACCTCACATGTATTAAGTGAGATGAATTTGTCAACATTCTCCTCTCTTGCAAAAAACAGAACATACATTTGAAATTTAGTTTGAGTTTTATTTCCTAGGACCGAACAATGTTGGCTCTACTCCAACTCTCTACCAGTTACCTCTGCTATATATATTAATTGGATGTTTGGCAAAACATAAAGACATCCATGGATGATATCACACCATGATACAACTATGTAAAAACATAAGCATCTATTAATGGCTTTATCTAAAGACCTTTAATTATAAGATAGCAAATAGTAGAGCATTTCTTCCTTGTCAAAGGGAGAAAGGAATCAAATGACTTGGCTAAGATCCTTAAGAAAATCAACAACATTTTTTGGAAACAGCATGTGCAAAGGAATCTAAATTCTATATATTCTGCCTGTGGGAGTTTGTATGAATGGAAAAAAAAAATTGAACAAAGAACAGTTAAATACAGTAACTGTAGCCACAGGATATTATTGTGACAAAAGGTGAGATGTTCATATATGCATCCATGGGAAAAATCTCTACATTAGAGAATTAAAAGAAAATAGTTTACTTCATGCAAATTTATTGGAATAATAGCTTCAGAGAACCAAAAAAAAGTTCTTTTTTCACAACATTAAGCTTCATTCTACTATTGGTTTCCTAGAGGGCAACTGCAGTATACTCTTTTGAATGTTTCTTTCACATTTTTCTGGATTTTTCCCTTTTTGACTGTGGTCCACAAATCCTGTGGGTAGCAAATATGCCCCAGTGAGCTCCTGTCCATTTTTAATTTTCTCTTAAAGGTGAATTATGAAACTGAAACAATAAAACCCTGAGCTGAGTCACTCCTGATAAGCACTCTTGCCAAAACACCATCTAGTAATACCTGAAGATCTTCTGTGGTCCTGCCTTATGGCAGGCTTTTTCAGAACCTGGTATTGATACCTAAAATGAATCAATAAATATAAAAGTTTAAGCTCCACACTTCTTCTTCCACAAGGAAGAAGTCTGAGACAAGAGGTAAAATGAATATAAGCTTCATTATAAATGCTAAATGTGGCAAACAGATCTTAAATGCTGCAAGCATGGCAAAAATTAGCAAACAAACAAAAAAAACAACAAAACCCATTAAATGACTTGTGTACTTAAAGAGTTGCTCCATTTTTTAAAGAATATTCAAGAATAATTTAATATGTCCATTTCAGCAAGCTATTTGTAGAAATAAATATAGATTTATTTCTTGACTCTCTATATGAAATCTCACCTAAAGGAATACATTTTGTAAAAGTGTTGTACACTGAACACTTACTTATGCTTATATCCATTTTGATTTTTGTTTCTGTGGTTATTTTTAATTAACAAAGATATCAGTCATTTCTGGTGATTTATACCTCTGGAATGTGCTGGCTAACCATAACCCTTTGCTGAGAATCTTTCTTTGGAAAAGCCCACATCATATCTGGGAGTACTCCAGACACTTGAATTATCATTATTTTAGCAGCATGCTGAGAATTCTGCAGGTTGAATCCACTTTGAACAGGGGTTATTACTAAAATCCATCAAGAAAAGTGTCAGGGTGCAATAATAAAAGCAAAGCAGGAAATCTTTACCCAGTCAGGAATTCCTAAGTTACAGTGTTTAAGAGTTCCAATTACTTTGCATTTACATTTTTTACCATATGTCCTGCAGAGGAGTCAGAACACCAACACCCTTTGTCTCACTCTTGGCTGCACTCAAAGTACATGAATTCAAAGACCAAATATTTAAGTTTTGGATTTTTTTTAAGCACTCACTGTGGGATCTTTGCCAGCCATTTTGCACTCTTCGACTTTGATTGCAGATGCTGGCCAGAAAACCTGCTCAGAAAGGAAAACAAAGGTTGCATAATCTCATTTGTACATATGACAGCCCAATGTTCTTCATTTACTTTATGCTAACAGATATTTTAAAGTTATTTCTATATTTATATTTCAAAATTCTTCTTTCATTTATGAACTCAAGTTAATGAAGATTTTATTACTTTATTCTAGCAATTATGTTTTTGTTTCTTCCATGAATTTTTCCTTTAACAAGTCTTTCTATGATAAGTGCCCATTTACTAATAGTACAATTTTTCAAATAAGGAAATTATTAATATGCACAGTATAATGTGTATTTCCCTCCTTCTGATTTACAATACACTTTTCACAACTGGTCATATGACAGTGAATTTATGTTCATATTGCTATCTCATTTTTTTCAGTAAACCACACAGCTAGGCTGGTAGATTTACCTGAAACTAGGTACTTCAACAGCTAAAATGACTCAAATAAGGACTCTCTCTGACATACTGTGACAGCATTTTAAGTTGTTGTAGCCTTGGATTAGGGCTGGTGGGGATGTTTTTTAAAATTGTCATGTTAAAATAATAAATCCAGAAGTCTCCTTGTTGTAACAAATTTATAATTAATCTACTTTTATTTCTTTACTCCAATGAACCTCATTTTATTCCCTTGCTGTGAAATATTTAGATTGGTGCAGAAGTAATCGCGGTTTTGCACTGTTGAAATTTGCTGTTTAACATCAGAATATATTCATAAATAAATGTGGATATATTGTACATTTTAATACACATTTTTGTTTTATGGGGTTTTTTTTGCTAATGATTTATTATTTACTTTTCATTTTATATGTATTTTAGACGATGGAACGGAGAAGGAGATGGCAACCCACTCCAGTATTCTTGCCTGGAGAATCCCAGGGACAGAGGAGCCTGGTGGGCTGTTGTCTATGGGGTTGCACAGAGTCAGACATGACTGAAGCGACTTAGCAGTAACAGCAGACTATGGAAATAATGTTAGACAAAAAGCAAATTTGAGTGATTTTCTTATTAAATTTCAAAATCAATTGTAAAACAGCAGAAACAACTTGCAACATCAACAATGCATTTGGCCCAGGAACTGCTAATGAGCATACAGCGCAGAGGTGGTTCAAGAATTTCTGCAAAGGAGACGAGAGCCTTGAAGATGAGGAGCATGGTGCCTGGCCATCGCAGGTTGACAACTACCAACTGACAGTCATCATTGAAGGGGATCTTCTTACAACTACATAAGAAGTTGCTGAAGAACTCAATGTCGATCATTCTAAGGTTGTCTGGCATTTGAAGCGAACTGGAAAGGTGAAAAAGCCTGAGGGTGCCTCGTGACCTCACCGCAAATCAAAAAAATCATTGTCTTGAAGTGTCGTCTTCTCTTCTGTGCAACAACAACAAATCATTTCTTGACTAGACTGCAACCTGCGATGAAAAGTGGGTTTTATATGACAACCGGTGATGACTAGCTCAGTAGTTGGACTGAGAAGCAGCTCCAAAGCACTTCCCAAAGCCAAACTTGCACCAAAAAAAAAAAAAAAAAGAAGGTCATGGTCACTGTTTGGTAGTTTGCTGCTGGTCTGATCCACTACAGCCTTCTGAATCCTGGCAAAACCAATACATGTGAGAAATATGCTCAGCAAATTGATGAGATGCACTGAAAACCGCAACTCCTGCAGCTGACATTGGTCAAAGAAAAGGCCCAATTCTTCTCCACAACAATGTCTGACCATGTCACACAACCAATGCTTCAAAAGTTTTGCCTCATCTGCTATATTTACCTGATCTCTCGTCAACTGACTACAACTTCTTCAAGCATCTAGACAACTTTTTATATGGAAAAGGCTTCCACAACCAGCAGGAGGCAGAAAATGTTTGTTTAAATCCTGAACTTTGTTAAATCCTGAAGCAGAGGTTTTTAGGCTAGAAAAATAATCAAATTTACTTGTTGGCAAAAATGTGTTGATTGTAATGGTTCCTATTTTGATTAATAAAGATGTGTTGGAACCTAGTTTTAATAATTTAAAATTCATAGTCTGAAACCACAATTACATTTGCACCAACCTAATACAGTAAAATAGTTAACCCTTGAACAACTTGCTGGTTAGGGACACTGACCTTATATTCCAATTCCACATCTAAAGATTCAATTAACCATGTAATATGTAGTATTTATAACCCTCAAAAATCTACACGTAAGTGGACCCATGCAGTTCTAATCCCTGCTGTATAGGCCACACTTGTTCACAGAACAGTGAATTAAAAAAAAAAAAAAAAGAACAGTTAATTTAATAATTGTGTTCCTTTCAAGGCTGTCTTGGACTACATACAGATGACATGGTAGGTTATCCTTTAAACTAACCATTTTTCATGCTATATTCCATGCTTTTCTTTTTTGCTTTTGATGTATGTATAGACAGGAAGTATTTTCTCACTTAGTTTCAAGTTTTAGATGGTTAAAAACTATGAAAGTAGACATGGAGAACTGAATTTATTATATTTTCAGTCCTTGAAACAAGTACTATCATTCAACTATTTATTGACATTTGGCCTGTTCTAATGAAATTCATAATTTTTTTTGTCATATTTGAAATTTTTAAAGAACAAGGCATCTAGGAATTTAGCACTGCCCTCATGAAAATGATAAACTTACACTCAAAGGTTCTTGACTTATGTTGTTAATATTCAAGGAAAGAATGTGATCTTTGCTGCCCACGTACATCCGGTCCTGATCTTCATCCATTAATAATATCCTGTAGTCTAAAGGGTGTTGGGATAGGCTGAAGTATTCAGATGTCTTGGTTTCTCGAAGCTCTGAAATGGTGAATACCACAAGTGAAAACTGAGAATCTTGATCTTATTATTTTAATGAAAATTATCTTACTGAAATATTTACAAAAAATGTCAAGATATATTTTCCTCTTACAACAAATTAATTTTAAAACAGTTATCTTATTGGATTTCTTTTATTTATTGCCTTTATGCTGAATTAAAACATAAATCAATAAATGCAGTGTTAAAGTTTATAGTAGTATTACTTGATTAAAAAATTATACACATTTCGTAAGATCTCAACTCAGCTTTTTAGTTTCTCATCAGCTCAAAACTAGTTAAGATAAATCAACCAAAAACAATTGAGTAGACGGAACAAAAACAAAAGCAACAACAGTATAAATGTCTTCCTAGGTTCTCTTAATGTTTTATTGTTGGATTCAATATGTTCATCTTTTTAGGGCTGTTATTTCCAACTTTAAATATTTATCATGTACATATGTATCAAAAGAAAAACATGAATTTTCAAATGTTCTGAATTTTTAGATTTTCAGTATCTCAATGGTCAGTTGACACATGTTCATTTAAATTCTTGTACATTAAATATGCGTCTGTATAGCCAAACTTTCAAGACAATGAATATGCATGACAATTTAAAAAATCAACAATCATCGTAGTAGGTTCAATTTTCTTTCCAGTCAAAATGCTCCTTTGTACAATTGAAGACTTTTCCAGTCAAATGGTTCAAGAGTTGTCTGTTCTTTTGATTATGAGCTTAAGAAAGTGATAAACTCTACAAAACAGTCTGCTTTCAGACATTACTCTTTAAATGTTGAACTATTTCTAAATTTTAGTCATTGAACAGCAAATGCATTTCGAGAAATTCTCATAGGGTTGTGATTTGATTTAAAACAAAATTAAAAATCCTAAGAATTCTTATAGGCAACCATGAACTTTATTCTGTGAGCATCTGGGCTCATGTGCGAAGACAGAGAACAACAAATTTAACCTGTTTTCTGGGCACACCAGTTCAGAATGTCTGTCAATAATATATTTCAAGTGGTTTTATATCTAGCCAATGATCTAAAAATACTATGGGAGCAGAATAGAGATTATGAAGCCAGACTGTGGCACCAAACTTCCTGTGACATTGAACAATTTACTGCACCTCACTGTGCCTTAATTTCTTCATTTGGAAAAAGCAACAATAATGGTATGCTCTACTGAGAGTCTATATGAAAATCAATAGAACTGATACATGTAAATATATATCTGAAATGAGTGACAAGCTATTCAATTATAATATTCATTACTGTTGCTGTGAATAATCTGAAGTATTAGTTATAGGAAAGCATGAAATTAGAAAAAAAAGATGCAAATTTTCCTATTTTTTCTTTTTCTTTCTTTTTTAATTTAAAAAGCTAGATTCCTAAAATTACTAACAAATTCTCTTAAATCATAGTCTCTGACATTCTGTCCACTCAGTGACAGTAAAGTGCAAAATTTTTTTTATGTGAAAAGAACCATCAACAACTTAGTAAAGTATTTCAGAAGAATCTTAAGAAGTAAATCATGAGAGAAGACAAGAACAAAAGATAGTGAAAGATCATTTAAATAAGAGACTCAGATGACAGATCTTTGGAAATAACAGACATGAGGGTGCAGCATGCTAACCTAGTTACTGAGCCTCACTAGATATCATAGACAGCCAAGTGATGCAGCTGGCAGTCCTGGTGTAACTGGCCTGGATTGAAACACCTTCTTTCATAAGCAGAATGAAAAAGAGTGGAGAGATGTCATTCAGGAAAAAAGTCAGTCCTTGCTAGATGAGAGGTTACTGTTGAAATAGGAAAAAAAAAAAACCCCACAAATCCAAGACTTCAGAACAGGGGAGAATATAAAATGCAACAAATAATTTGCCTAAAATCCAAAGCGTTTAATAAAGCTTGCTTTTCACCCTATGGAGATTCATGGTTTTTCAATTTCCCTGTTAAAACATCATTTGTAGGGTTCCAGTTGGGTGCAGGATAGATTTTCAACAAACACCTCATGAGTAAGTAACTCTCCAGTGAAATACACAGACCAAGTAAAATGCAACTGAGTCCATCACATCTGGGATCTAACCACCAGAATCTGAATGTTGGCCCTGCCATTTCATTTACTGATGTACTTGGCAAGTGCCTTTACCCCTCTAGACTCCAGGGTTTTCAGCTGTTAAGTCAAGATAATAATAGTTCCTACATCACAGGGGTACAGTGAGGTTTAAATTGGTAATATGCATCAAGTGCTTAAAAGAGTACCTGTCTTATGGTGACGTGGGTTACATGGGTTATATTATTATGACTTGGGACAAGACATCAAGCTTCAGCCAGACAAGTAAGAAGGACAATTTGTTACATAGGGAGCAAATATGGAGGGGCCACACTGTCTGATTTATATTTATTAATATATTTATAATATTTTTGCTTTTCACATGTAGAATCTACTCAACTTATTTGAGCAGGACAGTAAAATAAGAAACTATCTTTAAGAATAATAATTTGAGGATATTCGGGGGCATGTGAGACTGGAAAACTAGGAGATGCTGTTCCAGCTATTATGTTAATAAAGATCTGACATGCCAGAAATAGATGTGAGGGATGCTTGAAGGATTTGGAATGATTTTATATGAAGCTGGTCCTTAGGTATAAGGAAAAGGCAATCATTTTCCAAAGTTGTAAACTAAGAACAGGATGAATTGAACATGACCTTTACTACTTTCAAAGGATTTGAAATGGAAATTTCTTTGGTAAAGAGATTGAGTGTTGATAGATTCAATTCAAACCAAAGAAGAAATATTCCACAAGCATGTAAAATTTAGATAACTAGTTTCCCATCAGAAATATCAAATCTGCAGGGAGAGACCTCCAGTTCCTCTCATGGATGATGTGAAGTTCTGAGAGTACACAGGTCTGAAGAAGTTCTGGGTAGAAGCACTGAAGAAGAGTAAAAATAAGTGAAAAGCAAAGAAGAGAGACACGTTGATTGTTAGATCCAAAAAGAGTAGCTCTGTAATCGAAATTCAGAGGTCATGAGGTACATGAAGCAATGTGATATTGTGGAGAAAGTAAGGAATTGGAGTCAAACAGTTCTGAGGTGAAATCCCCATTGCATCACTTACAAATCTGTCGAAAAAAAAAAAAAACCTACCTCTTTTCTCCCAGGTTTTGATGTTCTCATCTACATACTGGTTATGTCAATACATAGCTCAAAGGATGCTGCACTAGCACATGGCAGAAGATCAATGTGCTCCTTTCATCAGGAAAGATCAGTGACCCTCTGTCTAACAGACGTTTTCTTTTTCTTTCCTGTTGGCAGAACTGGTCTGTGCCAACTACAATGGATCCCCTAGAAAGCTAGTGTCTAAAATGTGGTCACATGACTAGTTTTGACCCAACAGACATAGAGAAAGTCTTCTCCAAGGTTACTGGAAGAGTGTATTGGGTCTTGAAACTAACACAAAAAAAGAGGTGACTTCTTTTTCTGGCTCTGGACATTGGCATGTTATTTTCCTCAGTTGCTGCTACCAAAAAGACTGTTTTCTGAGAATGCAGAAATTTTTAAAAACTTGAGTTCTCTAAGAAATCATTTAATGCCCTAACTAACCCTGGAACTGCTCTATTACAGGACTACTTCTCTCTTTTTTTTGGCCACACTGCATGGCATACAGGATTTTATTCCCCAACCAGGGATGGAAACTGCTCCCCGTGCAGTGGAGGCTCCAAGTCTCAATCACTGGACCAGGGAAGTCTACGGACTACTTCTGTTACATATGATTAAAGAAAAAAAGATCCTTGAATGTTTTTAAGGCACCTTGAGTTTCCAGTGTTCACAGTCCCTAACACCTTCTCACTCTTCCTACCATGGTTTGTTGAGTTTTGGTATTTTTTTTTTCTCAAAATATTCTTCATTTTTTCTTTCTTTTTGCCTTCTCTTCCTAACCTATATTGAAATAAAACCAAGAGTGTTTATAAAACTGAGCTGGGAAAATAGCCTCAACCAAATTTTATTTGCAAGTAACAAAAAATGGCAGTTCTGTTTACCTATTTCATTAGAAAATAATCAATTTCTGGCATTAAATTCAAATAACAGAGGGAGCAATAACTGCATTAACTTAAGACCTTTCTGGCCCAAGGATTTTATCTCTTTTTGTGGGCCATAAAGCTATCTTCAGATTTAATTACCTGTAGCTCATTGACAGTTGACAGCTGTTAACCAAGGAAGATTTACTTCAGAAGTACCTCTGTTAGAAGCCTAAAAGCCAAGGTTATTTTTTTAAAACTCTATTTAAATTGCTGTTAGTTAGCCAAAATTGAACTTTGGTGCCTGGGAAAAACTAAAAAAAATCTAAATAAACATTTTGGGTTTTTTTTTCCCCCCTTAAAGAATAAAGAGAGGAGTTCAAAGCATCCAGAATTTTTATCTATAAAAAGAATGAAGAATTCATCATTTTGACTTAATGCAGATCCAACTTAAGTCAACAAATGAGTCAACAATTTGATCACAATTACAGAAAATGACTGATACAATGATTTGGTAACAGTGAGAGAAGGAAATCACAATTACTAGGCTCTCATCTAAACAAGTCAAAGGATGGCACTGTCCTGCATCTGTCTCTCTATATCTTAATAATTATGTCATTGTTTTTACAGCATTGGAACTGCTGTAAAGAAGTTGAACTGCTTCTCAGGACACACTCAACTGATTGATAACGAACTTTGAGAGTAAGTGGTATTAGAAACAGCAGTGGCCCCACAAAGGGCAGTACAGGTCTCTAAGTCCCTGGGAAAATCTCCTGGGAAACAGTACTAAAACAAACAAACAACAACAACAACACCTACATGTTTCTAGTTTGAAATCCACATTAATGTAGAGTTCAAGGTCGAAAATTACTGTAATGCCTTCCATGTCAGTGTTCCCTGAGGGAAAATTTGTAGCATTATATGCTCACCTGGAATTCCTGTTTTGATATGGAAACCTTAAGAATTGTGAGCCTTAAGAAT